GAGTTATTTTTGTCTTTTCTTTTCATTTTTAGTAGAAATAAAAGAAAAGAGGGGTAACTATCATAACTCAAAATTTTTAAATTGAAAATTTTATTTTAGTTTTTATCTTAATTAATATGTTTGGGTTTTACTTTCATTATTAGGTTTGCGAGTAAAGGGAAATTTCGCAAAAAAAAAGTGGGAGGAGAAGAAAGAAAGGACTCAATTGAAGAAATAAAAAGTTGGGGGATGAAATCCTTGAAGCTATAAATCGAGCCCATTTCTCAAACTTATCTCAAATGGCCCAACTCCATAAAAATTAGCCCAAACCCAACCAAAACCCACTAAATTATCCAAACCCAAATACCAAACGCCAAAAACCCAAAACAAACACAAAAACAAAAGAAAAGGGGGGTGTGGGGAAGGCATCTCGAACCTTCCCCTTCCTTTTCCATCTTTACTTTTCTCTCTCCCAAATTAGCTTCCTCCCCAAACCAGTCGGCGCTCCCTGTTAGCCAGCACCAGCAATCATGCATGCCTACACCCCCCCTTTGCACGCCTACGTGCCCTACCCCCTGCGCGCTTACACCCTCCTCTGCCTCGAGCCCAAATCCCCTGCCTCGCACCCGAGCCTTGCCCCTCTCCCACCTGCACGCCTGACCCCACTTCTAGCAATCATACCCCCTACACGTCTGAGCCCCAATTCCAACAATCATACCCCTCTTACATGCCTCTTGCACCCCCCCTCTCTTCTGCACCGTGCCCTTGCCCTTGCCTCTTGCCTCTTGCACCCTTGTTGCTGCACTGAGCCTGCGCCTCTTGCACTATGCACCCCAATCCCACGCCCTTGTCTCCTACACGCTACAGCCATGCCATTGCCTTACCTACAGAAAAAACAACACACACCAGACAAAATCGGCATCATTAGTGATTGACAAAGCAAGTTTTTTTTATTTATTTCATTTTATTTTATTTTATTTATTTGGGTATATTTATAGAAAAAATCATATGAGGAAGGAGGTCCTTGGTTGATTTTGGAGTTGGATTTTGGGGGTCTCTGTCTGGTTCTTGAGAGTAGTAGAGGGAGACTTCAAGGAGGAGAAAGGGGGTTTTTCTTTCGTCTAAATTTGGGTATTGCCGGAGGTGGCAGTAAGGGGAAGACGATTGCTGAACTCACAAAGCTCAATGAAGGAGATTGTGCATCTTTTGGGTTTGTTTCTTTTAGGTAATTTTTCTGATCAGAGAAGATTTTTGGGAAAGGCAGTGAGGGAGAGGGTTGGAACTTGATCCCATGGGTGGGATCCCTCCCCTGATCCTGATCTGTTTTCTTCAAAGATTTTTGTCGTGTTTGTTTTAACTTCTTTAGGTTTGACATGCTAGAATTGTATTAGGTGATGATATTGCGAATGAAATCAAGCTTGAATTTCATGGATCTGAATTTGAATAAAAGTTTATTCGCTTTCTTTCTTTGTTTTATTGAATGGCCAAACAAGAACCTTAAATTCCTTTGTATCAAAAAAAAGAACCTTAAATTCCTTTGGTTTGTGCCTAGATTTTAATCTGTTTTTGTTCATTTTAGTTGGTGGGTTCGTGTTTCTGGGTCAGGTCAACCGAACTTGATCCAATAAATCTGTCTAAAAAAAAAACTATAAAAAGGTAAAAAAAATATAATATAAATAAAATGAATTAACTAATTAAGATAATTAACCTAATTTATGATTAATAAAATTAATTAACTTTAATTCAAATAAATTAATCATATTTATTAATCTTAATTTAAGATAAATTTTAATTATCTTGATTAAAGATTAATAATGTGATTAATTAATTTTAGTTAATTTTAATTAATTGTTAAATTAATCATTTAATTAAGTTAGTCATCATAATTAATTAATTTAAATATTTAATTTCTTTTAATATTAGTTAAAGTCAAAATTACCTTCATTTCAATTTCAGCCAAGAGTTTTATAATTAAGCAATTTAGTCCATAGGTCTCAACTCTTTTTTTAAATCAATCCTCCATGTTTGTGAATTTAGTCAAATCAATCCTTCATGTTTTCAATTTAATCAAACCAGACCCTTTAATTTTTACTTGTGTTCATTGTGCATGCATGTCTTTGATTTTATCCATTTTAGTCCACAAGGTTAAAAATGTTGCAATTTGGTTTATTTCTTTTTCAAGTTTGTTTATTAAGACCCAAATATAAACATAATGAATAAGTTGAATTAAAACCCCAATTTTAAAGTATGCAACCGTGTTTAAGCGAAGGGTTGTGAGGTGCATATATGCCCTTCTTCACTCTTAATCGAACCCCCGAATCCCACTCTCTACGTAAACCCGTTTTAGGTGATTTATCCCACCTTATAATTTGGATGAGTGGCGACTCCTTCCTTTTTATATTTCACACTTAATTTTTCATTATTTTGAAATTTTAAGTGGTCGTCAACAACAGCAAAGAGAAGGAGAGTACCTACATAGCTAGAGTCGTACATGTATACTCACACAACTCACTAGCCTGAAGGTCAAGAAGCCATGCCACTTATTTGGGAATGTCCAGAAGTTAAGCAGACATATGTAAGTATCAAGTTCTTAGATGCTATTTATTGTAATTAATAGTAACACAATTTAAATTATTCTAAATAATGAAAATTTATATTTGAAATAAAATGTTGCTCACTAAAAGTACATCATGAAGCATGGGCAAAACAAAGAGGTATGGCTAGAATGGGATCCACATATTTGGAAAGATGTGGTTGGACCCCCTAAAAAGGATCAAATGAGAAGGTTGTCCACATTATAGGGCCAAGCAAAGCATGGCATACCTTAGCAACAATATGAGATTAGTGATGTCTTGTCTTTTACCACCAGGATGCTTACGACATAGGTCCAACAGTTGTAGTATGGGCTTACAGCAAGAAATTGTAGCGTGAGTTTAGACAAAGGTGGCCACACGTATTCAGACGTAGGCTTCATAGAGAGTTTCAGAATTCGAAGTCGCTTTCGATAGAAGATTCCAAGAGCATATTGCATTACTTAGCCAGTAGTATGCATCTGTAGGCTTTTCATCACCATAAGCTAGTGATCCTTCACATGCTAGTGGTCTTTCACATGTTAGTGGTTGTTCTTCTGGTGGGTCCAGATCTAATCATTTATCACCATGATATTTAATACCTATGGTACGTATGGTATATATGTTTAGGTGTACTACGTATGTTTTGTAGTAATGGGTTTTAATATATAATTTGTGTTTATATGATGACTTAATTAATTCCAAATGTATAATATTTTAGCTTATATTAATCAATATATAATATTAATTTAAAAAATTAAACATTTTTATGGTAATAAAATGTTAATTTTTAAGAAATGGCACATTACTACTAGCCTACCTAGGGTTTTATTGGCTTAGAATCTGATTTCTTAGCTTTCGGGTTTGGGGTTGACATGCAAGTGAGAGGTATGAGAATCCAAGTTCCAAAGATCAAACAAAGAAATAGAACATCATATGAATTTCTTTACATATAACCAATAACTTTTAATGGCTATCGGTTATATGCATATAATCAACAACATAGCTGTCAGTTATAATGGCATAATCGATTACCATTAAAAGTTGTCTATTATACTTAAGTCCTCCAAAAAATCAATTTACGCGGTTGGTTCGATTCAAAACAAAATCGACAACCATTTTTTAGTATAACTGACAGAATTTCTAGCAAATATATTCCAATATAAATGCATGTTCCTAGATTCAAATTTATCACATATCACTTCTTCTCAAATCTTCTCGTACCTTTCCCTTCCTTTTTCCTTCCCAAACATGGCGCCCTAGTTTTGTTTATCCCTTTTTTCTTTTTACTTCTTCAACTTTTCATTTTCCTTTTTCTTTCTTCTCTCATCTTTTCCCTTTCTAACTCTTACTATGCATATGTGGTTTAATTCTTCTAAGCAATTTCATGCCTTTACAACTAAATGCTTACTTTTTCTCATCCTTCATCTTCTTTCATTCTTCCATCTGCCTCAAGGTTTTATTCTTTGTTTTTTTGATTAATCATCCAAATTACTTTAATAATATACATGATCATATACTAATAAATATTTATATATATTTTTTTTTTTTGCGCAAATTTGTAGATTTTATATATTAAGCTAACAAAAAAAATGATTGAGGCAGATTTTCATTTTATGTGTGATCAAGGTTTTAATTAATATTATTTCCTTTTACTTTAGTAATTCATAATGTATAATTTTTTTTTTTTTTTTTTTTATTTCCTTTTACTTTAGTAATTCATAATGTATAATTTTTTTTTTTTTTTTTGCAGATTTGTAGATTACACATATTAAGCTTACGAAAAAAATGTTTTGAGATAAATTCTAATTTTATATGTGATTAATGTTTTAATAATGTTTCCTTTTATCTTAATAAAATCATAATGTAGAATATTTTTTTTTTATTTTTGCAAATTTAGCTTCTTTTTTATGAAGTAAATTACTTGAAATTTAACTTTATTTTCATTATTTCTAATATTATTTCATTTGAATAATATTTTAGCTTTTATATTATTTTGAAATTTATTATTTTAAGGTTAAAATCCCATTTTGGTCCCTGAACTATTGCACAGACCCCCGATTTAGTCCCTAAACTAAAAAAATCCCTAATTTAGTCCCTACTGTTTATCATTTTAACCCTGATTTGGTCTTTCTATTAATTTTTCACGTTAATTGATGAAGGAAGACAAAAGAAGCATTAAGTATCACACAAAAATTGACAAGTTGACAAAAACAGATGACATGGCCATTCCAACTCATCCCACCCAAAAATTATTTTTTTTCATTTTTCTCTTTCCTCTTTCATTTCTTCAACTTCTGCAAACGCTAACATCTTAACCAATCTCCAACATCTCAACCAATCTATTCATTTCAATGAATTTCTACCCTTGCTGGGTTCTTCATGATCATCATCGAACAAGAAAACCTAAAAACCAAAAACAATTTTTTTAAAAAAATTTTTGCACCTAGGTTCCTTGGAACCCAGGACCTAGGTTCAATATCAAGAACAATAGCAAGACATAGAGTATCACAAAATGGAGAAGATGAGTGTCTAGATTAGGGCTTACATCCAACAGAGGGAGAAGTTCATCGACCGAAGGAGGAGGAAACATGAGCATGTTCCCAGCTTCCTTCAACTGCTCTGCAAGCTTTGTATTTGAAGATGCCATGGCTACTCTCTACACAAAAAGAAAAAAACCTAAACAGATATATCTCTAGATCCCTAACAATCTCACACACGTCTCCCCAAAATTTCACACCATGAAAATCTAAATTCAAGGTAAAGAAATGAACCCAAGCATGTAGGGTTCCATCAAACCCAGGTGTGCTGGGTTCCAAGGAACCCAATGCCTGGGTTCTTTACGATTCTTTGCTAACCCTAACGCTTGGGTTTTTCGAACCCTAGTGCCTAGGTTCCAATGAACCCAGCTATTGGGTTCGAAAGACCTGCACTTGGGTTCCATTGAACCCAGGCATGCTGGGTTCCAATGGCAGAGAGAAAGGGAAAGAAAAGAAAAAAAAAAGAAGAAGAAAGAATGTTTTATTTTTTATCATATTGTTATTTTTTTCCAAGTCATTAATTTTTTTGCCGGTTGTATTTTCATGTGTAATAAAATTTGACATGTAATCATGTAACAGTAAATTAACAAGACACGTTATGGATTTTTAACGGAAGGACCAAATTGAGGTTAAAATGATAAACAGTAGAAACCAAATCAAGGATTTTTTTAGTTTAGGGACCAAATTGGGCGTTCACAATAGTTCAGAGACCAAAATGGGGTTTTAACCTTATTTTAAATATACATATTGTTGTGGGATATATGATTTTATCACTAAAGTTTGTTTTACAATTTTAGTGACAATATAGTAATAGCGAAAAATATAAATTTAATTATGGATATTTTTGATTTTTTTTTTATTACTGGACTGGCTATAACCGACAGTTGTTGGTTCTAAATATAATTGACAGTTAAATAGTTGTTAGTTATGTTGAAAAAAAATAATAACATAATCGACAACCAAATGGCTGTCAATTATACTTATAATTGACAACCACTGGTTGTCAATTAAACCACCATAATTGATAGCCATTAGGCTATCGATTATATTATTAGTTTTTTTCCAACTTAATTGATAGCCATTTGGCTATTGATTATTGATTATACTTATAACCAATAACGACGGCCACTTGTAGGCAATAGCCAGTGGCTATTGCTATTGGTTATAATTGTTTAATCAACAAAAAATATTTCTATCAACTATATTTATTTTCTACTTTTAGTTTTTCAAGAGTAATAGTTGTTGGTTATGTATGTCAATTATAAGTATAAAAGACATAATATCCTTTATAATCGACAAAATTTTTCATTGGTTTGCGTTCTCTAGTAATGACGTATTCTTGTAAAAAAGGT